TGGATAAAACAACTACAGTTACAACTCTTACAAACTCAAAAACACAAGTTTACAGTTCATAGTTGTCAAGATCGTTTTGAAAATGATTTCTCCAAGGAAACTCAGGCTGCTGCTATAAGAGGCACTGCGGGACCAGTAGGTGGCACTTTTCTCTGTGAGGCACAACTTCCACACCAATGCTCCAGCTACAGGAGGTGTCATCCTTTGCATGGGAAGTTAAGCTGAAGTTCTACTTGGTCATTAATGATGCCATGGGACACTGTAGTAGGGGAACTAACCAGAATGTCCTGGCTAGATTCTATTCTGTCCTCCCTATAATTCTCCCTTAATTCAAATGGTGAAGCAATTTCTGACTTTTCTACCTGGTTTACTATGAAGGGGGCTCCTGGCAAATAATTTCTGCTGTGTTTTACCCAGATGTGGTCTTCTCCTATGCGTAAAGTGATGTGAAAGCCTTTGGAAAGAAACTTTATAAAGGTAAAGAATTCCTATTATAATTATTCTTACCAAACACTGCTTTTTTCTTACTCTTGTATTCTTAATTAAGTAAATCCTTTAGGTCATTTCACGTTTTAAGTACCCAAGACTTTCTTGAAGAGTAATTTAGAAGAGCTGTTTTACCATTTTTTTTGCTGTTTCATGCACTCCAGAAAGATTATAATTGCCTAATTGAGAGTAGAATAGAGAATCAAGCCCTGTAGGGTGAAACTTTGATTTCATGGTTTGCTTATTGATGTTTTACTCAAGGAAGAGTAAATTGAAATGTGTAGTTCTCCCTGGAGAAAACATAATGCTTCCCCCATTGAGTAGTGCTGTTTTTCTGTAATTTACAGCAGTTTTGTATTTGCTGTTTGCTCTGTAGCCTCTAGTGGTAGTGAAAAGAGGAAAAGAAAGGTTACAGATTTATTGTGACACTGTCTGCTCGAGGAAGTGTCTGGGGCCATGTTGATAGTAAATCCAAAAAGTACTGGTCCAAGACAGTGATGTTTTTCAGGAAACTGCCAACAGTCAGAGCAAATTACAATGCGGTCGCTTTAGTTTTATGGTTTCAGTACAAGCTCCATAGGAATTGAATACACTTGCCAAGAAAAATGTTTGGGTTCTTTATAAAATGCTTCAAGTGTGTGAATGTATGGCTGTAATGACATGGTTACCATAATATTTGCCAATAACACGCACATATCAACATTGGTGGAGAATAAAACGAACAAAAAACAAGACATTGCAAGGCAGAGAGTTTGGTGGGTTAGTGTTCTCCTCTTAAAGTAAAGCATACAATTGTAGTAAGAAAAAGCAATCTTTTTTTAGAAGGCGTCCGTCTGATTGATTAACTCACATCAATTTGGACATGCTTGTCCAGAAAGACTACGAAAGAGAGGAGAACAAGCTTGTTTATAATGTCCATTATTTTATTTAGTAACTATTGATTGAATTGATTTTAGTTCAAAATGCAAGAGTAATGGCTTCAACAATATGGCTAGATAGCCTGTTTCCCACTCATTCCCACAATATTTTGCTGAAAGAAGTGGCACCTGCTCTCAGTTTTAAATGCACTTTAAGCTAGTCTCCACTTGCGTCCTGTGGCTTATATCTCCAGATTGATTTTAATTCTGCAGTACTCCACTGGGTTGAGTCTGTCAATACCCTTGAGGAATTTGAATACATGGATCGCGTCACTTCGGAGTCTTCTCAGTTCAGCACTGAAAAGGTTCTGTTCTTATTTTCTCTCAATGAGGACTGTTTGATTAAGCATTCTAAGTGTGGTCTTGTTAGTATTGTACATGGTACTACGTTAACATACATTTAAATTGTAACCTTTCTTTAACTACACATGCTAACATTTATGTGCCTTTTTGTTTGCTTCCTCACATAGTCTAGAAGTAAAATATGTGTCAACATAAACACTTTTTTTCAGAAGCAGCCGCTTCAACCTCAGTGATTCTCATTTTGTATCTATAGTTTGTTGTTGCTACCTGTATGCAGCACCCTGACTTGCCTACATTAAATGTCATCTGCCAGGTGTTTGTCCAGCCTTGAATTTTATCTAAATATTTTTTAATTTCCTGCTTTTACAGTGTTTGCTAATCCCCGTATTTTTTGTATTGTCTGTAAACATCCAATTAATTCTTCAGGTCCCCAGCTATTTATTTCAGAGTCTATTTTGTTTAAGCATGGTTATTCATTAATAAAGGCATTGATCGGTGCTTAATGCAGTTATGATAATACCACACCTGAATGAAAGTCATTATTCACATACTTACCTCACTGAGGAAGCAGATATTTTGTAATAGCACGGTACAATACATCAACTACTGCAGGCTGCAACATTACTTGTGAGTTTACAGCACATGTTTCCGTTGGATAATGAAATAAAAGTTCAGATTAAGTGTAGATTCACATGTAGTCAGCCTCAGCATGCGTAGGCTGCAAAAGAACAGGTAAAGGTTTATTCCGTGCTGAAAGGAAAAGAAAAGAGACCCGTTTTGGCTGTGGAGTCTTCACTGGGTGTCCACACCTGAAGAAGGCTCCACAGCTGAAATGTTGTCTCTTACCTGTGCCTTGCCTTACCTTAACACCAATTGTAGTTTTCTATCCCAACAGTGACCTTGGATTTAGGGGTGAAACCACATTTCTGAACAAGCTGCCTAAAATTCTTCTCACTTAGGTGTAAAGCATACTAACTTATTTGCAGTATTTGTCATTTTTAAATGGAAATAAGTCACTCTACTAGGCTTAATTGCACAGTGCTTCAGACACTTTTGTACTTCTTATTTCATGCTTGCATGCACAAAACATACAGTATACTCCAGTCCCTCTTGACATTTTGGCTATTTCCGGGGTTTTTAAATAAAGAAATGTATGCTTGAGATGTGGAATTTATGAATGAAACGCAGACTGACCAGGAAATGATTAGGACTGGCAATGTCAGGAGTTCAAGATAGTGAAGCATGTTAAAATTAACAGCACAAGGTGAAAGCTGTTTCCCTTTTCTAACATTTCGCAAGAATACGCACACACAAGGGGGTTTCCAAACTGCATATTTCAATTAAACATACATTTTGGATATTAATTATATTTTAGATATGATTGAAAATGTATTTTGAAAACCTCTTGTTTGCTCATTAGCAGAATTCTGGAGCTGTAAAATAATTGCAAAATATACCCATTGTCTCCTATTATATTGTAAGCAAGATTGTACTGTTTTATAAGATGGTCATGTGGATCACATTATTAGGTTGACTGTAACCTAAACTTTGGAACACTGTCTGAGGTAGAATTATTTCCTAAATCTGCAGAATGCGTTGATGTTTTCTTGTACTTTCAATGGGCTGGATGTTTCATTTTTATAAAAAACCAGCATATCATGGAATTGTTTTTTAAAAAACATACCTCTAAAGCCTTGGACTAGTGGTGCACATCTGCAGTCATAGAGTCTAGATAAACAAGCTGTGGTTCATAGGTTTCTTTAAATCAGCAGCAGTTTAACTTGGAAAAAGGATTCAGTCAAATTAGTGAAATACATAAATAAATCATTTATATAATTCCATGTAATTTTATTTGCCCTAAAAAGTAAATCAGTAAGTATAAAATACACATTATAAATGATATTATCCTACACAAATAATAATAATGTAAGAATAAAATGTGACGTATTTACCTTTTAGTTCTAAAAACATTATGGCTTAGCCTCCTCATCCAAATAATACATTGTATTGTAAAACCAATTGCAAAACCAAACTTCACACAAGGCTGCTAATACAGTTTCAAAAATATACTTCTCTCCACTTTCTTAAATTCCTTTTGTAAATCATTGCAAAAGGCACATTAATCATCTAGTTATATTAATTTCAAGCATTAAAGTCATGTTTATACTTCTGCAGGAGCAATTGCAAATTGCAATTGCCGTAGTCTCTGTATTCCAACAGGACTGAAAGGACTGTTTATTTCTACCAAACTCAATGAAATGGTTTACTTAACTGGTTTTCTTGGTATTACATGTACATGACTTTTAAAGATTCAAAATCTGAAGTCTATATTTAATAAAAGAAGGCTCCACAGCCGAAACGTTGTTTTCTTTCTTTTCTTTACAGCGTGGAATAAACCTGTTACCTGTTCCTTATTGCCTACGTATGCTGATGCACCTACCTACAGTACTTGAACTACTACTGTGTATTTACTACCTACATTTTATTCCCTCCAAAATATACTGCAGCCTCTGTCATTAAGCACTTCTGTCATGTTCTACATTTTGTGGTCCTTTTTATCATAGTACTTTGTACCTAGAAATTGTTTAACACAACAGAATGTCACTAGCATACAGATTAACATTTTGCTGCAATGGACAATCCCCTGTGCAATCTGAATTGCAGCAATGACTCATGTTTAATTAGCCCATAATTGTTTCTGTGGAAGACTGCAATATCTAGTTATGATGATGTGTCAGATAATTAACTGGTTGGCAGACATACAGGCATAAAAAATAATAGGCTTGATAGCTTTATCAAACAAAATAACAGGTGTGGTTATGTTGCTATTGAGTTGTGGAAATGACCGGTGAATTCCACAAATCTTTGTGATACACAGAATGGCAACTGGGAACTAAGAGGCAAAGGGACTGAGTTATTTTGGTGTTGAACAGAGGGTTATACAAGAGCCTCCTCTCATTTGTCACTAACTAGAATCCCCTGGGCTTAAAAACCAGTGAATGAAGCTAAATGTTAAGAGACTTTTCTTCTTTAAAAGTGTCCTACCCCCTCCCCCCACAACAGTGACTGTTCAGAGTGAAACCCCATACAAGTTGTACTTTCACTCCAAAATTAACTGGGAAATTCAGACAGCAATTTGTAACAGAAAAGGTTTATCTCGTGTACTATGAAATCTGTTTTTTAAGGCTAGCTTTTAATATAACTTTTAATCTTGCCTGAAGCACTGAAATACACTTAACACAAATCCCATTAATCTGAAATTTTCTAGCAAAATAAAAACTCTCCAGAATCAGGTTAATAAAAAAATTCAATTTATTACGTTCCCAAAAACAGATGTTGCATAATTTACATATTTGTTAAAAAATGAAATACTGAGTATTAATCAATACAGATAATGATTTTCTTTTTAGGTCCTATCAAACAAAACAGTTACCATGCAACCCCACAAACTCAGGAAACTAAAGAAATAAAAGCATCTCATAAATAATAGTGACCAAGCGGCCAAAAGCCTTTTTAAGATTACAATGTTAAATAGTAAAATAACTAAGTTTTCAGAACTGGATATACATGGAAAAAATACTAAAAAATAGAAGATGAAAATGCTTGGCAGAATCCCAAAATATTGAGACACTCAGTAAAGTACTTACTCTAAATGCTGCATGGAATATTTTTAAACTTTATCAGCACAGTTTATCTCCTGTGCTGTAAAGTTTCTACTCCACGGTTAATAACACAGTTTGTTCATAGAGTTTATTGTACTTCTTTCATGCCTGAACCTTAAAACCAGGATCCCAACACCAACAACAGCACTACATTCTCCATCTTCTAAAGCCCATGAACATACTGCACGCATAGCAAGTGGTTACCACAAATGCAAATACCTACAAAGAAAAGAAATAAAATGTTATGCAGCTATTAAGAGTTACATTTTTAGTGACAAAAGAAATATCATGAGCACAGCATAAACATTTAATGCAACATTTGCAATAACTGTGTGACTCTTTCCAAGCAACTTATCAGTGACTTTTTTCCAAAGGTAACACAGCGTACTTCATATTAAAAGTTCCACATAACCTTTTTCCTGAAATATATATACAATTGGTTGTGGCCATTAACCCTCAGTGCTCTTCCTCAGGTGACCACGTTAAGGTAAAAAAAAAGTTAAAAAAGGCCATTTCATACTGGGTTGTATTATTTTATTTAAGACACAGAATATTTCTCTTCGTGGCATGTCAAGCTGTTGTTTAGGATTTCAGGTTATAGGACTAGCATTCGGTGTTACTGGATCCTTAGTACATTGGCCCAAACACAAACACAAAGTTCTTATATCGTAACTGGTACGTGTGTTAACATTTTATGTTAGTATAGAATATTTGCCTGTCCAAATCTGACTGAAATTACCCTTTCCACAGAGCTGCATTGGAGAATAAAGAACTCATGTGCCATTATTTATACATAATGCTAATTTTTTCCACACCGTTTTCCTTTGTATACATTTGTATTTCCCTCACCCCCATAGCCGAAACAATACTGCATACATCTTTATTGTATAATTGAACCCAGTGTATTCTGGCAGTGATTTTATAAATTCAGAAACAGAGGAATTGTTGGCAATGAGTTCAAAGTTGTGCAAGAATAGATATACAATATGCAACAGCATCAAAAGAAATTAACAGAACCCTAAATATATCCAGTACAACTCTAGAATGAGTAACAGCCAGAGAAAAAAAAATCTATAAAAAGCTGTTTAATTTTGACATTTGGGTTACTGCATACATCATGTGTTGGCCGCAAAGGAACAAGTAATAGGTTTATTCCATGCTGAAAAGAGATTCCATTCTTCTCTTTTTAGCATGAAATAAACCTATTGCTTGTTCCTTTGCATGTATCATTTTGCCCAGTATGTAGGGATGAGAATATTTTGGAAGAAAAAGTTGTGCGCACCTTTTTTTACACAATTTATCCAGCAACCTCATTTAACAAAATGCTCAGATATTAGAGGAAAATTTGCTACAGATTCCAAAATGTTAGAAATTATTTTTGATTAACATCTGAAAACAATAAAGAAACGAAGGCGGGTATATGAGTTACTTACGGTAGCTGCTATGTTAATATTGTACTGTTGAGGGTTCAAAAAGGTGACTATGTTTTTGTTGTTCATAAGCACCATACAGTTCAGAGTGGAAGGAGAGGTGGCCGTGGAATTTATACTGGTTGCTCCAGAGGCAGCTGTCACTGCAGCTTCAAGTACTGAGGCTCCAAAGTAGAACAACAGTGCGGTAAAGTGGAACATTACATCCTAAAAATGAAACAAAACATTACAGTGTGTCTTTAACAGGTAGTGTTAAAACTCTACTTTTTCATTACATCCTAAACATTAGAGAAAACAAAACCTTTCAAAATACAGTCAAGATTACTGGCCCCTGGATTCTGTGGAGAATTATATGAGATCATGTCTCCTTTTATTTAGCAAGTAAGGATCACACTGATCCTTTCCTTACTTACCGTGGGTTCTGGGTACAAGTAACAGCATTTTGCTTTAAAGCTCTGGGGTAATGAAGAAACTGTACAGCTACTTCCTACAGTCCTACAATTGACCAAATGTTCAAGTTCAAACCAACAATGTAGGGATGAGGCTGTAGGAGTCCCTCACTCCTGGCTTTTACATATGAGCGAGCATATGCATCCTTCAAACTCTTCTTATGTTTCTATTCCCCTTCACTTTTCTTTAAATGTTAATTAAAGATGGAAATGTTGGCCTTTGAAGAGTAATTCATTTTCTTCAAGGAAATGTTCTTAAGGGAAACACCTTGAGGCCTTCTGTCCCATTGCCAAAAAATCATGACGACCATACCTACATTCCAATTCTCTTTCTGATAAATTTCTTTTATCAAGTCTGCGAGACATGTGACAACTGCATCCATGATAAAAAAAACTCCTTGGTCCTCATGTGTTATTTTGAAGCACAAGACTTGCATAAATGCATTACTCTCATAACGGGTCTGCACACAACGCACATCTACTGTAACACTTTCCTGACAGAACATGAAATAACTAAAGCATAACCCATGATGCACTTCTACATACTGTAAACATTAACTTTCTTAAACAAGCCATGTCTTTTCTACCAAGACCAATGCAGGTCATGTCCATAAGGTAGAAATATGCAAACAGGAGCTTTCTTCTTGTCTGCTGCATATGAAAAAATAAAACTAGCCCTACTATCGTTTTAGGCATTTTATGAACTATGTGCATTTTTTTAAAATGAGTACAATTTCTGTAAGTATTGACTCCACTTCATTCATTCAAGAACATTCAATCTTCAAGGGGCTTAGATCACTGATAACACTGTGTTCGATTTGGGTTAACAAGTTTCACATATAAAAAATAAATCAGACATGAATTAATGCTAACCTAAAGAATATAATAGTGTTCTGCTGACTATTTGATCACTGTAACTCTACCAATGGAGCTTAGGTTCTTGACAAACCAGTAAAGCCTGCTTTTCAAGGCCATGCTCTATGTCCAGTTTTAACACCTGGAATAACAAAAGATACTTTCAGTTAACTAGGAGAACAGGTTTTTATTCAAACTGTTTTTTTTTACTGAGCTTAATCTGCTAGTTACTATCTTGACATGGGAGAACCTGATAAATTGGTCCAGTTATTTGCTGCTGCTGCTGCTTTAGAGACTTAGCTTCAAATTGCACACATCAGCCTCATCCAGCCTGGTTGGTCTTTGGTTTTAAATCTACAATTTTCTTTTTCATTTATCTTTACCTTGTAAAACCGTATCAGTTAAGTAATAAAGACATGCATCTGACTATGTCCCTACTACATCTTTCAGATCTTGTAAGATGAAGACCATGGAGAATTAAAAGAATACAAAAATAAAGTAAAGTTAACTTCAAACGGTTTTGTTCTTTGGAAGTGCAGGTCATACACAACTCTCTCTTAACTTCTGGTATTGTTTGTTTTTGACTGGAGTATACCTGTTCTAACTCGTATCCAATTTACATAAAGATAGTTGTTGCATTCCCACATTGCTCTTAAGGTGTGCATGGCAATTTGGTGATAAAAGTTTAGAATTGTAGGTCCTTTTAAGGACTCAACAATTTACCAACCCCAATTACTGGAGGGAGAAGATATCAAGGTGTCAGATTCTTTCATTTTTGGTGGAATACTTCACTGTAAATCATATTTTATAGGTGGAACAGGACAGAATTCCTACTTTTGGACAATGTTCTTTTTGGACACTACACGTTGTCTCAGATTTTTCTAAAAATTTACAAAACAGTGTACGAACCCACGGGTAATTAATCTGATATTGGGAACAAAACTTTGACAATATACGAGTCATTTATTTTCAGCGAGATTGTGGCTGTTAATTTTGAACACAAAAAGAAAAAATTTAATTTTAATTTAATACCACTTATTTTGCATGATATATTTATATTAGGATTTTTTGGTGGAGCCTGGGAGAAAAATGTTCTAGTAGAGATTTCTAAGAAAAAAGGAGTGCTTGTGTCAAAATGCATGTTTCTGTAATGCCTTTTTCCCTTTGGACATCTGACTAATACATGTTAACACACCTTAGTGGATACTTACAGTCATTTCTAAACTAAACTGCTAAAATACCTTAGAGTGCTTAAGCAATTGCTGACATGCCTTGGACCCATTAAACAAGATTTAGCTTGTACAGAACATTTATACACAGTAGCTCACAAAATTATAATCTATCAATGATACCTATTTTAAGCTTATTGAACACTCAGCAAATGATGCTAAAATTATAATACTGAATTAATAATCTTAAGAGTATACTAATGGCAACTAAGAAAGTTTCATTTTCTTATTTCCTTAGTGCACAACAAGCCGAATGCCACCAGGACAAAGAAGGTCTCCTTTTTCATTGGCATGTCTGGTACTATACTGTACATCACTTTGAATTCCCAAAACATTTGTAAGAAGTTTTTTTTTTCATGGGGTTTTTACATGGATAAAAAACTCATGAGTGATAAACCCATTTACATAGGATTACTGCCCAAGGAAGAGCGATGAACAGTTTATAAAACAGGTTGCCTTGGGGGAGAGGAGACTGTTATAATGACACACCCCAGCACTCAAGTGTTTTACACCTCCCTGGGCAGGTGCCCAGAGTCACAGACAGAGATTAAATTCAGTGTCCGCTACAACTTATAATTAAAACAAACGCAATAAAACTTTTTATTTTTGTCAAGGATTTTTGTCACAGTAAGGATGGGCTAAAATTCCACATCAACATGTTTAAGCGCATACTGAAGACAGCCAGTGGAAATCAAAGCATGTTTTTAGCTCCATTTTCAGCTAAGTCTCAAGTCTCAGGGGTCATAGCTGGTATACTATACCTGTATGTTTTATCTAAAGTGTTAGAAGAAGTAAATATTATTATATAAAAGTAAATGCAGTGTTCTGAAACTTCTTATAGAAAATAAGTAAAACATGGTGTTGCCTTCAAAGAGGTTCATGGTTCTTAACCTTTGGAAATGACAGAATGTTCTATAGTTCTGTGTCAACAACAGAACATACTAACAAATGGTACCTAAAAACTGAGTATGATATCATAATAACTGATAATTACCATCGCCTGATCTCATTGATCAGGGAAAAGCATTTTACTTATGGAATTGATTCATACGTATTTGCCATACTATCCCTTACATACTATCAGTAATTGCTTCTGGAAAGCCTTCTAAATCAGAACTGTACCATGAATCCTGTATACTTCACCATTGTCCTCTCTTTATATTTACCCAAGTAAACAATTTTTTAAAACCTTTTTGCTGTAATAATTGTTACATGTCAACACTAAATGGCAGCACATCATTTTAAATAAGCATAACTTAAGGAGGGGACTAAAAATGTCCAACAAAAAGTAGATACTGTCATCTGCTCTCCTAAGGGTCACTGATTACTTCCTTATTGTCACATGGGCGACAGAATCGCAAAACACTGAATATTGTTGTGCTTTTTTTTTCTTCTGCAAAGAATGCAACTGGGATTCTTTGCTGTTTGGTGCCTGCAAGCCATTTTCAGTTCACCAAAGAAATAAATGTAAAACTTCTTACCAGGAAATTCCAGTCAGTGTTGATCCTGTCAACAAAGCCCAGGAGAAAGACAAGGAGGTATGCAGTGGAAAAGGTAAACATGGTTACGGACACAAACATAACCCAGCCTTGTAACAGAGGCACAGGGACATTGGAAGAGGCCACAAGAATCCATACCAGACCTCCGAAGACCTGCATGAGAAAAGAAAACTGCTTTTAACATGTACTACTATAAATAGCTTTCTTTGTCATTAGGAAAAAATAAAAATCATCCTTTTGGATATTTCACCAGCTGCTTTTTCACTATTTTCATTTTCAAATATTAACAGGCAAAAAAAACCAACTAGAGCTAATAGAATTTTCACTTTTAAATGTCTTTTTCAGACATTGTGCACTCATACATCACCTGTGTACAAAGAAATACATAAGATACTTTTCTCCATTTTGATCTGGAGTCCTAGACTGTAGGCTTTGTGAGTAATGTTTACAATGTGTCCAATAAGTATTAGAAGAATGTTAAGTTTAAGACCCCGGTATTTTTTATAAGGTCTTCAAGTGACTTTGTCATTCTTACACCAAGCATTAGTAAAAAGTTCTCATTGCTTTCGTCATTATGAAGTGTGGTGGTTTTACAGTGTTACACCAACGCAAGCTTGTAATTAGGTCAGTTCTGACCGTTGAAATGTGAATTACTGTACCACGCAGAACCAGGTAAATCTTGCATTTAGTACTGCCCAGCCTATCCTGCAACAATACCTTCTTAAACAACAGCTTCAGATGAGTTGTTTAGGTATTTAATAACAAAGCTGAATAAGTTAAAATACATTATGTTGTACACACTTCGGTATATATTAAAAGTATACCATCCACCGGAAAAACACCAAATGTCACCGGAGAGGATCTTCCACAGCCGTGCACATTCAATTGTACGGCAAGTTTTCCAGACCTCCGTGTTATTTTAAATGTGGGAGTGGCAGGGCTAATCCTCTTAGCTGGGTTCTCGAAATCTTCATTTTACATGTAATGTCGGAGCGCTGTCATCACCTCATGAACTTAACAGAAAGCACCACGTTTCTTGCGAGTTCTTGCGCCGCTGCTATCAAAAGCAAAAAAGCCAAATGCCTCATCGGTACTTCCAATATTAAGAAGAAGCAGAGACGAGATCGTTTCACTCGGTGCTTCTTGTCTGGAATATGAAAACACACACTCGAATGTACTAGCGAACCACGGCGAGTGGCTAACGTTTGTAAGGAAAGGTGTTCAGAGTTTGTACACACTTACTATTTCTAAGCAGACGAGAGCCCCCGAGTACGTTCTCAGCACCTCAGGTCCCGTAGGCAAAGAAATTGTAGCGGCTGGGAAGGACGTAGCCGGCGAATTTGCGGGTACAGACATCCTTTTCTTAATTCAGAGGTTTCTGTTCAACAGGGTCAAGATCCAAATCAAATTCCTGCCGAGTCACGTGTCCTCGCAGCCCAACAGGTGCGCGGCCACGCCCATTCTGTCCGTTCGGAGCAGCGACACCGCGTCTCTTTGAAAGAGACCTGGAGTAAGTGAAGAGCGGGTATAGACTGTCATAAATAATCCTGGAGTAGCCGAAGTACGTATGTTTAGCCATCAAAACCGGGGTAAACAAATGAATTACGACTTGTTGCTCACTTGTAATAGTATCAGTGACGTTTATAGAGAAGCACGCACATTTTATAGATGAGGAACAAGTAAAGATTTATTCCAAAGGAACAAGTAATAGGTTTATTCCATGCTGGGAAAAAAGAAGAAAAAACACAAAGTGTTTTCTTTCTTCTTCTTTCTCTTTTTCTTTTTTTTCCAGCATGGAATAAACCTATTACTTGTTCTTTTTCAGCCTACGCATGCTGACGCAGCTACCTACCTGAAGATTTATTCCACGCTGAAAAGATGAGAGGAAACAATGTTTTGGCTGGGGTGCCTTCTTCGAGTGTGTTTTTCTTTTGGCTTGTTGTTTCTTATTTTGCTGATAATTGGCATTGTGTTTATTGTCTTCTGTTTTCAGCATGGAACCTTTTCACCACAAACCTTTACGTGTTTCTTTGCAGACTACGCATGCTGACGCACCTACCTTCTTGAAGTATTTTATAGATATTCTTTTGAGTTAAAAAAATAATATTATGGCAAGAACACGGACGTGACTGGCTTGAAGTGTATAGAGAACCACAGTTAAGTTACAAATGAATTTTCAAGAGATATCATCCTATGGACACCAGTACATTATACTACAAATATACAAAAAATGAGAATATTGCAGTCCATTACCAAAGGAATTTAAAAAATACATATTCTTTTTAATAATGTTAATTTTTTTTAAAAAGTTTTAAAATAAAAATACAGTGTATTCTAATTTTTACCTTTAGTGTAATAAAAATTTGAATCAGGAGTTCGGTATATCTTGGTCTTTTAAACTGCTTCTAAATGTTTAAAGTCAATTTTTCACATAGTTTTAGGTACAGTAATTTATACAATCAAATGGAACAATAACACTATCATCCTACATGACATTTCTGGAATCTCAAAAGAAGTGAATTTATGACATATATATATTTTCTGTAGCAAGAATATCATTTTGAACAACTAAAAAGTATGTCTGTCATGCTTGAATCTTGGAATTGAAATGTCCTCAATAGCACTGATCAAAGGAATCACATATTCCTACCTTCAATTCAGTTTATTAGGAAAACCTTAGATTCTGAATTACTGTATGTGCCATCTACTTCTCAGCTTAATCCCGGGGAGAATATAAATACTCCTTTGACTGTTAAAAGTTTTGGATGCATTCTGAGAAGCCATGCTCAAAAATGCTGTCCACTTAAATTTGTATCTGAGAAAGAGAAACAAGTCCAGTAGTGAGCATAACTGCAGCAGCTCCCATGAGCTGCCATTCAGAAGCCCTGTTGACATGGCAACCAGAAGCATCATCTTTGGAAGGGGAACATGTGACATTGTCAAGCTAATACAAAGTTAAGAAAACAAAGTATATTCCCAAAACACTCCTCAGTGTGTATGTGTGTTTGCATATTCCCTATTCAATTCAAGTTTATGTTAGATATGTATTTGCACAGTGGTTATATACTTTATAATCCTAATTTAATAAATTAATACGAATAAACAAGAACAAATCCGATACAGTCCTAATTATTTAGTTCTTGCCAGGAATATTAACATTTCCTGTCAGAGTAGGAAAGGACATTTTTTTGTTTCAGTTCAACTGGATTATGCAAGTCATATTGGCTTCATTCACAGGTTAATCATTCAACAGTGTTGTTTACTCAGTTTGGGAAAGTGGTGCCTTTCATAGTTTGCTAACTCTGACACACATAAGAGGTGAGTGAAAAAATACAAGGCTGAGCTGGAAATCCAATAACTGCTGCATGTCTATTTCCAGGAGATTTCTATTTTTATTTATTTGATTAACAAGTAGACATAGCATCTTAGGATACTTACAAAGTTTTGTGTTAATTGTGTAATGCTTGTTTTCAGAAAAATAAATTCTACAGGTACAGGCAGTCACATGTTCTAGTAACAGATGACAATGTATCTTTTTTTCAATATTGGATTGATTCAAACTACACTTTTTGAACCCGAAAAAGAGAGTTGTGAAAACATTAGGTCGTTAAGTTTGTCAGAGCATCACCAAAAAATCTCACTTCCTGTTAATAAAAGAAATTTTAGAAATATTTGGCCAATATGGCTGTTTTAGTTATAGTAGGTAATTGATCTACTGTAAGTATCTCAATCAGATGTTTACTCAAAGATGTCAGGGTGCTGGCTTCAACAACATGACTTGAAAAATAAACTCATCTATCACAGTTGATTCTGAAGGTGTCCACTGGATTAGTTTTGTCAATACTTTCAATGATTTCGCATTCTCGATTCTGGCCCCCAAATTCTCTGTGTAAGGCTAAAAAAACATAGACTTTTTTAGCCTAACAGCACAGGCTATTCTTTTAAGCCCTGGAATGTACTGTACCTTTGTGGTCTTCTTCGAACATATTCCAAAGCAGCAGCATCTTTTTTAAGATGTGGTGAACAAAGATATTCCTAGTACATTGTGAAAGTTTTACAACACAGCAATTGCTTTAAATCTGACACTTGTAACTGTGTCTTGTATCGTTCTGTTTACCTTTTTAATGCTTCCTTCTATTGCCTAGAGATGGAAAATGATGTATCAACACCAGCCTTTTTCACAGGCAGCTTTTTCAAGTGCAGCGATTACCGTGCAGTGATTTTAGGTTTATGCTGTAGTTAATGTTTTTACCACCTGCTTATCAATCTTGAGGCGTTTAACCAGTACTGAATTTTACTGACTTTTTGTTTTTTTAAACGAGAAGTAAATGACTCATTATAGAACAGGTTTGATCTTTTTAGTAATTTTTTGCTTTTGCTAAGAAATTGCATCTCAGTAATGGTGAAATCATACTAAACTGCTTTCTCGGAGTAGTTTAATTGAATGTGTTGTAGAGCCCTGTGGAGATGTTAATAATTAGCTGCAATATGAAGGCAAAAGCAGCTTCTGTTTAGACAAGAAATCACAAAGTGCACTGAAGTGTACATTTTGATTAGCTACTGCATAATTTAAAGATAGAGTGGAATAGGTAATTTGCAATTTGCTATGCACATTCATTGAGCCGTAAACCAGTAAAAGTGCTGCCTTTCTGTCAATATGGATCTATAGCAAAATAAGACAGAAGTGGGTGGAGAACAGATTTGGGGAAATAGGAGCTAACAACAAATGACAAAGTGTTTTTTATCTATAAACCCTCAATGAACATTGAAGCTTCTGTACTCCACGATGAGGAAGTAAAGAAAAACTATAATTCATTTAAAAATATTTTAATTCTAAAGTGCATTAAATACTTTCTAAAGGAAAAGGAAATCCGACATACAGTTTACAGTATTGAGTTATGAAACATTAAATATAAAAAATAAAGCAGGATTTAAATGGAAATAATTCCACTGTATGTGTTTTCATAAAAAAATATGATGCAGGTGAACTAAAAAGTGTTAGGAGTAAATGGTCTGTTTGGGAAGTAAGTGCTGTAGGATTAAATTAATCAGATGAGTTTTGTCAGTGCAAACTTTAACTCATTGTAGTGTTAAAAGGATGGACAGCTTGTTACTCTTGGAACAGGATGGGTACAATATCCAGATCCTGTTTTGAGTATTCAAGGAATATTATTTCATGTTCTATGCCCTTTTATATGAAGAGATTAAATCTTCTTAATAGAAAAAAGTAGGGATTAATTTGGTGAAAATTGGTATAAGTGTCATATTTCATCCTTGTATAATTGTTGCTATGGTGCTGCATTATTACTGCTAGTGTGGATCCACCTGAGGTATTGTTTAGGTCTTATAGTTAATAAACCATGAAGAAGGGAAAAGGCTAGTGGATCTCATGAAGTAGCAAACCCAGGACCATGCCTGATGTCTATGGTTCAGCAACAAGAATTCTCCATAGAAAGCAGCAAGTTTCTTATATTGTCAATGCATTTATTTTCTTTAAATGATACAATTCAGCACAATATCAAATGTTGTTTTAAAATCTAGAAAGCAATGGTTTACAATTAAGAAAAATCTAAGGAGAAAGAAAGCACATTGTAGAATAATTAAAAAAGAGCAGCATCAGGATAAAGAAAATAAATATAATGAGTGACACAGATCAAAAATGTTGTATGTAAGGCCAAAAAAGAAAAGACTACTGTAAAGTAAGTGGTGCTTAACAGAAACTAATAATTTTTTCAAAACTACAACAGCAAAAGTTTAGTAAAGGATGGTGTCTTGGAAACAATACTGGGAAATATTTAGAAAATGAAAAGAAAATGGCTGATATAAAATGAATATTTCATTCAGGTGTTTAACAAGGAAGAAGTCAATGACATGCCTCAGTTTATGAAATGTGTAAACTAAATATTACTAGCATAGAAGAGGCAGAAGTGTTGTAGGTACTAGAAACACTTAACTGGAAGTAAACGTTGCAGCCATGATGGTATTCTACCAGCTGAAACCTGAAGTATATAGATTACTTACAAAACACTTTCAGCTGTCACTCAAGACAGGATAATCCCCACTTATTGGAAAAATTGCTATTAATATTACACTTATCCACAAAAAAGAGTGACGAACCAAATCAAAAAGCCATTATAAACTGCTAAATCTTTCTTCTATTGCATATATGATTATGGAGATGATAAGTATAACTGGAGATAATGCGAACTGAAAAGTAAAAAGCTGTTTGTATGGTAGCCGGATACTAGGGAATTATCAGCATGGAGTTAAAAATGTAGGTTGCTTAGAGAATGTGTTAGAGATCTTTGAACATGCTACAATACTATAGACACAAACAGAGCAGGAGATATTGTATATTTGATTTTAGAAGTCTTTCATGATTCATCCTTCCATCCATTTTCTAACCTCTTCATCCAGTTGAGTATCGTGGGGGAGCCGGAGCCTATCTCAGCACAAACAAGTACACAATCACACCAGGGACAGTTTTCTAAGGA